TCTACGTAAACCCATCAAGTTAAAAATTTCAGAACTGTTAATTCTGAACAGCAGAATAAGTGCTCTTAAGAAATGGAACAAACATTTCTGTAGATATGATCAAGATCAACAACGATTTTGCTTTAAAGAAGTTTACTCAAGTGCAAATTTTATAACTGGAAATTAAAGCCAAAAACTTGACAATTTTAAAGGCAAACAGTTTGCTTAAGAAATTATTTCATAAAAGCAATGAATGAGGCGATGGCAAATAAACGCTTCTTTTAGCTACTTCAGTTCAAAAGCAGGTATTTTTATATGCCAGGACACACTCATACAGAAATACATAGATTTAATATTATTTCAGACAAATTCATGCTACAGTTTCTACAAATACAGTGAAAAGTTTCTGTATGATAATGTTGTCAGGTTTTTTTGTTTGCTTGGTTTTTAGGACACTTTTGATACTCCTATAATAGCCCACAATTTCACATATATATGGTGCATGGATATTAGCACAGTAAACCCTATTTACATAATGGTCATGGAAAATGCACCAGTGTTTTGCAGAAAGCATGTTTACTCTCTTAACAAAATTACAAATATATCCATTTTCACTGAAAGTGCTTGAAAATCTTAAACACACAAATTATTCTGCAACTAAGATATACTAAATTCTTGAGAAACATACAGCACACACAAGAACTATACTGGAACAATCTGAAAAAAGTTCAAAGTAAATTTAAATAGTCTAAGTAAAATGAAATATGACCAGACACAATATTTAATTGTTCTTAAAATTGTCAGATGAACACATTTTCATGGTTATTTCATCCCTAAGCTACTCTGGTAGGCTAACACCCGAGCACAGCAACGGGTCACCCGTTTAACCATGCTAGGGAAACAGGATCACCTCTTGAGTTAACAAAACCTTTATTTTTTATTTAGTTTTTAACCCTTAGGGTTTCTTTTCCCTGGATGGCTCTTGAACACGTGCTGGACAGGCTGTCACTACTTGCATTATTAGCTCTGATAAGCACACAGCTCTAGGTGGTATAGCTGCAGGCTAAGGTAACGGACTGTATACAGATGGACCCCCGTGCCCATGCAGAGCACTATTGAATGTATAGGGGCTCCCCATAGGGACAGATATGAACCTAGCATGATCAAGTAAATTGTAAAAGGCCCATACTTGTAGAATAGCTTTGTTTCCTATATTACCAATGCATTTACCACAATTTCCTAAAGACAAAGTGAAACAAAGGTGTATTAATAGGAGTTGTTCAAACAAAATCAACATAAAGCCAAAAAATCCTACACTGAGAGCAAGTTAAATAAGTAGCTATGCCACTTAGTGTAAACAGCACAATTTCATGCACATGTGTGCACTCTGTAGCACACCAACCGGATCGCAGGAGTTTTGATTACTTAATTACACAGCTTATGTTCATAGCTTGTAATTGTTTACAGCATAAAAACCATAGCCTATTTACTCTGATTAACACCTATCCCTGTGTACTAACAAGACAAATTTATTCCAGGAATAATTTCACAATGGATTTAAGAGATGATAAATTCTTCTGTTCACAAAACTGCTTAAACTTCATTTCCCGTGGTTTGGTCTCTCCCCCTCATCCAGATTAAAAGGTGTACAACAAAATAGCTGAGCTGATGCTACCACCTTGTTTTTAATAGGGATATGAATGTGGGGTTTCCTTGTCTATTTGATCATAAAAATTGCATCAGAAATATTCAGTTTCCACCTCTAACTTCCACACAATTTGATCAAAGCTGGCTTATAGGTAACAGAGGAATGAGGGGGAGACAGATGCATCCACAAACCTCATTTTCCTAAAGATACACAACTGAATGCTACTCAGGAGAAAGAAGAAAAAAATTACAGCTTTGCCTAACACAAAAAAACCCACAAACATTTTGCTTTGAAATTTATGGAGGCAAAAACATGGAGAAGCTGCAGGGTAATGGTCCACAACTCACAGCTCAAGAATTTCCAATACTGGTTGCTGCCACAGAAAATTAAGATGCTGAAACCGAAGTCCTCATCTTACACAGAGAAGTTCAGAAGAGAAAAACAAACACACACACACACCCCCTTTGGTCTACCCCCAAAAATAGCACGCTCTCAAAATATTTTTAACTGACATCCTCTTTCAATGGCCCTCATTACTGTAATTGCTTTTCATCTTCATTTTTTTTTTTCTCCAACAAGTATAGAGTTCAAAGTAAAAATGATTCAACTATCATTCAAATGAAAAAAGGTGTATTAAGTCCTTCTGGCAGCACTGGAAGTTACCTGTTGTGATGCCACTTTCCTTTGGCAGATATTCCCAACTCTTTTCCCACTTACTCATCTCAAAATTGTTATAACACCACTCCTTTATGTCTTTTGGGGAACCCCTAAAAGCAGCTGCTTGAAAATATGCTGGTCCACTTCAACTAGACTTGACTCTAAACCTAGTGATAAATGTCTAGAAGCCTCCTTTGAAGTTTCTTATGTGATAGTGAAAGACAACAAGCTACATATCAGTGGGGGAACAATTGTTCTTCCTGCCATGGTAAAAATCGCTGAAATAATACACGCAAAACAATATGGTAACAAACTAAACCGCACTCCTTTGTCAGTATGTACTCCTGGAACATGCATAGAAGACGCTGCTGAAGATTTAAGAAACAAGTATTAGAACAAGTTACACAGTGTGGGAGGTTTGCTATGCAGCTGGATGAAAGTACAGATGTTTCTAACTTCTCTCAGCTTACGGTATTTGCATTTCAATCATGAAACGCACAGAGAACTACTTTTTTTTTTGCGAGCCAGTGAAGGAGAGATGTACCAGGGAAGACATATTCTCAACGGGAAATGGCTTCTTTAATAAAAAACAATGTTCTATGGAAAAACTGTGCAAGTGTAACCACCGATGGAGTGGCTGCTTTGACTGGAATAAAAAAATGATTCCAGGGTAAGGTTACAGAGGTAGCACCGCACACGGAACTGCTTCATTGCATCGCTCGTAGGCGAGCTATTGCAGCAAAGAAGTTGGAGCCAGGAGTGCACAAAGTGCTACAGGGTGACATCGATGTGGTTAACTTTATAAAAACAAGCCCTTCAAACAGTAGCATCTTCACCAGACTTTGTAATGAGATGGGGAGTGACCATGAAAATCTCTTGCACCACACAGAGGTTCGCTGGTTATCTCGTGGCAAAGTGCTTGAAAGAGTTGTCAAACCTTATGCATTTTTCTTTCGCAAAAAGGCAAGTGTTCCAAATTTGCTGCCCTTTTCAGCAATGACAGGTGGCTGTGAGTAGTTTGCTACCTAGCAGATATTTCCAAAAAAACCCCACACCTAATGTGTCCCTTCAAGGTGAAGGTGACGTTTTAACAGTGAGTGAGAAGTAACTGCTTTTCAAAAGAAAGTCGTGCTATGGAGAGAGCATTTTGAAAACGGATGTTTGGAAATGTTCCCCTCATTACGCGATTTGTTTGTTTGTTTTGTTGCTGAACACAGTGTGAGTGTGTCGCCTATAAAACCTCTTGTATCTGTACACTTCAAAAACACGGAAACAGAATTTTCTAACCTATTTAAAAATCTTCCAAATGAGAGTCTCAGTGGGTTTGGAACCGATTTGTTAACAATATAAACGTGCAGCACTTTCTGATTACTTTGGAAGAAGAACTAATTGACATCAGGGAAGATGGTCATTTACTAACCCAATTTCAAGAAAAACCCTTGCAAAACTTGTGGATGGGGCTGAAAAATGAGTATCGTGATTTAGTAAGTGCAGGCAACGATGCGCTTCTTCCACTGGGGTCTACGCATCTTTGTGAGGTATCTTTTACAGCTATGACACCCATTAAAACCAAGTATTCAAATAAACTGAACGTAGAACGAGACCTCTGAATTGCTGTATCACAAAGTGTTAAACAAAGATTTTTTTAAAAAATAATGAAGCGTATTCAATCATATAGCTCTCAAAAAAAAAGTAATATTTTTAGAGCAAAAAGGTTTTTGTACCATTGATAAATAACATAAAAATTATTTTAAAGTACTGTTTGTTTCACCTTTATCTCATCCTTTTTTAATTTCTATTTTTGTGTTTTATAATATATATAATATACTAGTACAGTGGTACATGTATATAATTTATAAATATATATATATATAGGGATTGCATACTCAGAAATTTTTTACTGATAGGGTGTGCAATCAAAAAAGTTTAGAGCGCACAGATCTAGATGACAAGAGGCAAGTGCCCCCTACTGAAAGCATGACACTTGTAGAGAGTAATTCTGTGGACTAATTTTTTTTTTTTCCATTCTTGCACCCCTCTTATAGCAACATTCTCGGCTAACCTGTGCGGAAGTAGCTCTACCTTTCTGGTACTTCAAAAAGTTCCAGATTTCTTCCAGGAATATATGACCAGTTGGGTGTCAGAAGAAGTGGTGATACCCAACTTTAAAGAGTTACTGTCCAGTACTCTTCAAAAGAAAATGAAAACATGCAAAAGTGGACTGCATCATCCTATTTCAGTATCTGTCTAATAATATGTGTCTGTTTATGTGCATGTATCATTAAAATATTGGGGCAGGGAAAGGATGCAGTTAGTTGGGAACATTTAAATACATGTATCATAATGAAGGAGGTCCTAACTGAAGGCTCACATGAGGCAATTCCATTTATATAAGTATCAAATATTACGTACAGGAATATAGCAGCTCTTGTGTTGCTCTGTCATCACAGTCTAGACTGCGACGTGGAAAGTTTTGTATCAATGACACTGAATTCCACAGCCCTCGAGAACAAGTAATTTTGGAAAATAGTCCATGTCACCAAGCAGACAAAGCCAACACGGCATATTTATATGCTTTACTACTGGTTTCACAGTGAACAGATAAGACGCAGATCATACATATTAATTCTCTGACTACTTGACTTCAGAAACAAGTATTATATTCAGGGCACAAAAGTGAATACATCCGATATCCCGATGAATATTTGACTCTTACCTTGCACTTTATCTGAACACAGCTCCTTGGCTCGCTCTCTCATTATTTGTGGAATCAAAACATCTTTTTCTACATGTCTCAGCTTAGAATCTTCTGCAAGAGGGGGGAAAAATAAAAAAGGGAAAAAAAAAGATTTTTTTTATCGATACATCAGAGAAAGTCAATCTACAGAAATAACACAGCGTTGTTTATATAACGTACACTAGTATACTAAAACGGTCACAAACTAGCAGCAGAAAGTACCGTGGAAGGACCACACAGACCAAAAGGCAGGAAAATCCAAGATTTAAAACTGCTCAGATACAAATATGAGCATTATCCTGAATATTTCTGTTCTGTTCAATGTGCACAATGAACCAAAAATAACGGAGAAAATTCTGGCAGCATATTCTAATTTCTGTCTTACTAAATAGAAGGTCTGCATACAGACTGCACGAAGGCTGAGAATTACTTTTATTTCAGGATACTAGTATTTTTCTATGTACATTATCTGCACAAACTGGCTTTTTTACTCACTGTCATAAAGCTGAGAAATATAGCACATATTAGAGCACAAGCTGAAATTTGTATTGCTATGTGGAAGACTTCAGTTCTTTAAAAAAAAAACCTAAGCAGCGTCTTAAATGGAGGATCTAAGAGTTTCTTCATGGAGAAATTCAACTTAACAGGAACAAATGCTGCTGTCTGAATTCTGCGCTTAAAAGTACAGCTGCAGCTTGCTTTCAGTTGTCTCAAAACAGAATTCAGTACTCTGAGTACAGCTAGTGATTTTCAATAGTTAAACAACACAGACCATTTAGAAAAAAATACTGCATTTCCAAATCCATTTTGGAAGGGATGAGAATTTATCAAGAACAGCTTTTTACTTCTTAGCTTCTGAGTTAAAAACCCTTTAAAGGATATTTGTTCAGAACATTGTATAGTTCAACACAGTTATACCAAATACCTGGTTTTCCTCCTCAAACACACTATTTATTCACCCGTTGATGTTGACATTACGCTTCAGAAAAGCATCAGCTGTGATGCTCACATTATGAAAACACTGTCAGATACACTCTTATTTTAAGACAATCATTTCATTTAAAAATTGCTTATAAAAAATTCAGATGAAATAACATAAAAGTACGACGTATTGAAATTAAGGAAAGAAGCAGAATTTAAGTTACCTACCGCTTTCAAACACTATCTATTTTTCAGAGCATCTGCAGTTACTTCTAGATCAAAAGGCAACAGAGACTAACATTTCCCTAGTCACTTCTAACTCACCATGTTTTGAAGTTTACTAATGCTATGAGGTTACATTATGAGGTTACACAGTGTTGAATCTATGGTATTACTAGGGGAATCAGGTAACAAAACAGAGGATTACAATGAGCAATATACAGAATCTGAACTAAAGACTTACCTTTCTCCTCAAAAATTTCTTACTTGGAATTTCTACAGCAAAAGAAAGAAAAAGTGTCTTCTGTAAAGACAACAAAAATACCAAACACAAATAGCCCATGACTTAGATTTGCTTCTATGCTCTGATTTTCATGACTGAGATAAAATAATTGCAATTAAATATCCTTCATTTTAACTTTCTGCAGAGTATCAGTACAATTCCGGTACTGAGCATTTATTACATTACAGACAACACAAAGCTGTCATCAAATTTTACACATGTTTTTTAAAAAGCGGGACAAATCAGTTCAGCTGCATGACATGGCACAAAACAGCACCAGCAAGCTACGTGCCTCAGCTCTACTTTGAACTTCAGTCAAAGCAAGCTGGCACTACTGCAGTCCTGCCTCTCCCGATCCCTGCAACGCTCTTTCCCCTCTGCCCAAACAGATGTGCTCTGCAGCCCTGTGGTGAACTGAAAGGGGAAGTGAATTTGGTTTAAAGGTAAATAAATTTCTTGTCAGGCAATTTTTCACCTAGATAAATTCTCCAATCAAGTTCACTATATAACTGCATAAATGGCCCATGAGAGGGAACTGTGTGAGACTAGGACAAGAAGGAAGTCTGAACTGTCATGAGCACCACTGGCCCAATTATAGCCTAAGCTTCCCCCGCTTTTTTTTAAATTGGTTATACTGGTGCTTAGAGTAGGCAGAAACTAAGCCCATCTATGAATGTGGATACAGAGAAGCAAGTGGGTTGCTAGCTGCCACCAAAAGGGAAGTTTTAATAGTTCCCCATTGCCCTCATTCACCCCCATCACATGAGCACTATTACGCGCTTAACCACACAGTGAGTGACCAGTTCAATACAGAAAACTAACTCAAATACACACAAAAAAGTGCTTCTCAGCTGGTTTACACTTTGGAGTTACTAGATCTACTTATCAGAGTTCTAATAATTACTTCATTTAACTTTTACATGTCAGTAGCCACCCCAGCGTACATGGAAATGTAGCGGGTAGCACAGAAGTCTTTAAGGTCTGGGAAGGGCAGCTGGGCTTCCCCCGCTGGCAGAGGTGGCAAGAAGCATCCACGGTTCCCACAACAACAAAGCACAGGGCTCCAACACAAGGATCAGCCACCCACTACTGACAAAGAGGAGACGCAGATAGGAATACAACTGTGCAACTGAAGGCCAGAAGGGAAACAGGACAAGGGCATCCTCCAACAAACAAACAAACAAAAAAAAAAGAGAAAGAAGGCCTCCCTGTTAGCCCAGAACAGGCAAAAAGGATTTTCGGGTTTTATCTTAGCTTAAGCACCCAATTTTCTGTTTGATTATTCAAAAGGAAAGGGGCATAAGAATGATAGCAAGAAGTAGCTGTACTGGTGTTAACACCAGCTCAACCAGAACCATGACGGAGCTGTGCTCCAGGCAAGCTCCTTCATTTTAGTCCCATGTTGTCAAACCTACAGAGGCTGAAAATGCAGGAAGGAGAGGGCACATCAGGGCACGGGGCAGCATCCAGTACGAAGAATCGAAAGAGAGCTACAACAGTAATTCAAAGGTAATTATTCAATGGTATGAAGGAAACAGGAATAAAGATCACTTATAATCTCATCTACAGTTTTTAAAAGAAAGTTTGTTAGTAAGTATCAGTTTTTAAACCATGAAAAGAAAAGCACAAGCAATTAAAATCATTTTATAATGTCTAGGAGGTAGTTTTATGCATCTGGGTGCAACCATCCCTCCGAACAGCTCAAATGCAGATGTTCCATTTGGGCAGTACTGTACCTACTCATGAGTTTCAATTGTAACATCTTAAGTATTTTAATATTCTTCCTTGATTCTAAACTATCCATTGCATTATGATTACAGTGATTTCTTCAAGGATCTTAAAACACTTTACTGAAGTTGGTATCCCTAGCATTTATACAAAATATTAAAGAAAAATAAGGCACAAATATTAACAATACCAGATACCAGCTAGAAAAATACATTTACATGCAGAGTAACTGCATTTCTGATACCAATGTATAAGCACTTGCAAGGACATCATCATCAATCCAACCTAATCAGCTCTGCAGTAACGTATATGGCAAGAACTTTCAAAGAAACAACACCTCAGAAGCAAGACTTCATCAAAAAACATGAGACAGCCATGATGTGAAACCATCAATTCCTTTTGCCTTTTTTCAACTATATTACAGTTTCTAGAATAAGTACTTTTTTCCCCTTTTGAAAGTTCACTGTTCTGCACTAAGAAAGATAATTCTTATTCTAATACCAGATTTGCTGCAGACTAGTCCCTACAGAAGAATCTGCATTACAACAGACCTACTACTGTTTTATTTTATCTTCAAAACATCAACAAAATTATCCCCAGACAAGCAAGAAATATGTTTTCCTACAGTTTGCCTTCTGCATTTGAAAGCTGATACCTTTGGTTCCCACCCATACCCTCCACACGCTTTGCCTGGTCTTCTGGGTAGGCTGTTTGAGACGATCATGGCCTTTGGCCGCAAAGAGAACCAACAAGAACACACTACCTCTCAGCTTCCAGAGGGCCAGACAAATGTTAGCAGCAGCTTTTCCTTCTCCCCCGCCAGCCAAAACTCGGGCATGTTTGTTAGAGAAAATTAATACTCTGAGATTCTACCTTTACCTTAAGCTTACATCCTGTTGAAATTTGCTGGTACCACCAAACATTACAAGGGGCAGATGGATGAACACAAGCTAATTAAAGGTTACAAAAAGCAGACTAAATGCAATTAACAGTAAAAACTAAGTATTTTGTAAAAATATACACAGAAGTTAAGCCAGAATTAAAACGAAATGCAGGCTTGCAGGTGTTACAGCATCTAAGTCACTAGCTCCTTGAAAATGTGAATAAGGCTACAGCCAAGGAACCTGCATGGTGAAACTACTGAATGTTTCCTAAAGACAGAGATCAGCACATTCGAGAATGCTGATGCTCCTCGTGGGGACGAGCAACAGAAGAGAGGATAAAGAACTGGTTTAGAGGTTATAAGCTCGCAGTTGCCAGAAAAAGACAGAAGGGTGAAAACACAGAAAAGGGAATACCTCTGTGAAAGAGAAATTGTTTTCTGTACCACCTCAGCCCAGTGTAAAGAATTAAAAGAATGAGAGAGCGATTACTAAACTGGGAGATATCCCTATTCAGCAAAACACTAAGAACACATTTAAGACTTTTTTTTTTTTTTTACATATAAAATCTGTGGGTTTTGGCAAATCTCAATGCTTGAAACAGTTCTCTGGTTGCATACAATATGTAGGGCACAAGACTAAAATTGTAATAGTTTCCTGTGGTTCATCAAAACCCTCAGCTGCAAAAGCTATTTATTGCCACGGAAGGCCAAGGACCACAGCCATTCGGTTTAACAGTTTTCATTATTTCTGTAAAAATGACAAAAAAAAAAAAATCAGGAAATAAATGCATGACTAGGAATGAGAGCATCACAACCACTAGAACAGTACAGAATACACATCAAATTCACTCCGTATGGAAGCTGGGAAAATAGATGACAAACACTCTCCTGGCTTCCTAGCCTCTGACCACAGGATCCATGAAGGCCTTGAGAAAAAGAGGACCAGGGTGTAGACCTGTGCTGTAGGCAGCAGACCTTTAAGAGGACAAGAGGAGAACGAAACACAAAGCTGCTTTACAGTCCTAATAACGAAAGGGACTGTAGCAGCTCGTCATAATAATTAGAAGACTATTACAAAAAGGGGAGACCAAGACAAAAGCTTTCCTAGAGGAGTGTCCTGAGAAAAGTCATACCATCTCCCCTCTTCATTCAACACAACTGGTAACTGACTTACCCTTTTGTCACTATGTCCTGCTGGTAGTTTACAGCTCTGCTTTCATCTCTCTCATGTCTTCAGGTAGCAGGGACACAGATTACTCAGAAAAAGTTGAGAAAAAGTTGAAAACTTGTCTACCCAGATATTTACAGAAGCCTCATACCTTCTGCATCCAAGAGTAACAGTTTTTGAAACATGCTTTTCTCATTATATAACCTGTAATTTGGACTTTCTTGGTTCAGTTTATCTATGCACATTTTAAAAAAATAGGTCAAAGCAGTACTTTAAAAATTATAGCTATTTCAGCAAGAATTACAGTATATATGAAGAACAGAAAGTTTTATTAAGTTTTTAATATTTTCATTAGCAACTGTTATACCTCGTTTTTCTTGAAGTCCCAGTTATATCAACTTTTAGACATCAGTTATTTACTAGCAAAAATGCTGTAGAAAGTTCAGTCAAGGTTCAAGAACCCAAGTTAAAAAATGTAACATTCTTCAAAATATAAACATTTTAAAACAATCACTTTCATTATTTTGGGGGCTTGGTTCAGAAATGTGGAGCCATAAAAGGGACTTTTTTTTTCTTTAAATACACCTTACTATTTTTTTCCTACCAGCTGCCATCAAAGATAAGCAGTTGTCAGTGGATAGATTTCTAAGATGCCTTTCTTTTTTAAGCTAAGAAATAGAACTTGAAAAAGTACTAACGAAAACTTCAGCAGCAGAAATAATAGTTATTACAGTGAAGAAAAACGAGAACATACATGCAGAATTCCCGTTCTTTAACTTACACCACATTTAAAGAAAATCTCCACTCTAAAGAAGTGTAACAGTTCTTTTCCTGGAAGGGAAGGTCTTGTCCTCATCTGTGATAAGCCTACTAAGCTTGAGTTTACCAGCCATTCTCTCATTTTTTTCCATATGCAGACCTATAGTATAAACAACACTTAAAGTTAAGATGGGCTGGAGAATGAGTAACAAATTTATAGCTGTTACATAAGTGCATTGATTTGGGGGATTCAGTTATTTTTCGTATCACTTCGTAAAAATTATTTCTGTGGTGTAAATACTCCGTTTCATCCCCAAGTTTTGTTTTAAAACACTTGCCTACGAGCTAATTATAAAACTACACAGAAAAAGTACACTTTTATTAATAACAGAAGTAGCAGCACGGTGTTAATTGCATGCTTATTGGCAAACATTCCTTTCCTCAATCAGACTATTGGCTCTAGAGGTTCGATTTTTTCAAAAACCATTTCAGATTTATTTTAGTCTACTTGTAACAGTGTTTTGAATGGGCAAAGATAATTATAGCTTACTACTCCTCCAGGAAAAGAATG